AAAAGATGAATTGGAAGTGAAATGTAATTGAATTTTTGGAGTTTTGATGTCAATTTACACATTGTTTTGAGTTCCAACAATAAATGTGCATTTTTGTGCTCCTTTAATTCTACACAATTCACAAAATAGGCTTTTTTAATAGACACAAATGTATATTTCTTCTTTGCTGGAGACTACAAAAAAACCATCAATAAGGAACATGGGGAAAGAAATTCCACAATATTTATTAAAGAACAAATTTTATAAATTAAGCCTCTGGTCTTAATGTACCAGCAACTTATGTAACTGCTAATGTCACTCTGGCATAGGCATAATGCTATCTCATGTACCTTGGCATTATTCCTTAATTTCCTCACTAGAGATTTATAAATCTCATTCACCTTGTTTCTAGACCCCAACTTTGTTCCAGCATCATTGGGAAAGATTCTATGCTATTGTCAGTAAATGGAAGAAGAACAAAACTCAAGAGGAATAAAAGTTCAAGACGTGATTGACATTCTTTGGTTTGACTGGCATTCAGCAAAAAGTCAAATCTTAGGTTTATTTTAATTAATAACTATTTCATTCAAATTACAGACATACAATTCACAAGGATACTCATTTAATAAGGCTTTAATTATTTGATCTTAGGTATATGCTCCAAATTTAGAGTTCAAACTCTGTACATTAAAATTTATTTCATTTCAATACCTGTTCTCTAACCTCATACCCACACTCAACATGCCAGAATATAAAGGATGCTCAAATAATATCTCCCCTTTGCTATCCAGTGTTTCCCTGTTTAACTCAGAACAAAGCCCCTGATTAAGCTAGCCGCTTTATTTCCCTCTCTGATTCGTGCTCTGTTATTCTCCCTGGTCCTCAGGTCCCTCCCTCCTCACTGACTTCCCCTCTGATGTTCTTTAAATATGTCAGATGCACTCCTTCCTCAACAGCCATTTGTATCTGTCATTGCCATAATCTAGAAACTTTGCCCATATAGTAAAAATGGCCTATTATCTTACATTTTTCAAATGTCACTCTCTTGGTGACTTTCTTAGCAAAAATTTTCATTACAGTGCCTTTAAAATTACAACTTCTGGGGAGGAGGGGGGAGGCTGGGAAGGGATGTGAAGGGTAAACAAAAGGAGGAGGCTGCAATGCTTGGTAAGAAATGTATGCATTATCCTGCCCATGTAATTGTAACCCCTCTGTACAGTATCTTCACAAATAAAATAAAATAAATTAAAAAAATGAAACCTGAAAGACCAGTTAGTGAGAATACTCAAGTCAGATTATCTTTTTATAATCCTGCCTTCCCTACAATTTATGTAACTTCTAGGTATATGTTTTATTGTATACAGAACATGTATAACATGATATTGTTAGGATGAATGGTATCATACAAATGAGAAAGCTTTAAAAAATAAAAAAGTGTTTCTTGTATCTAAAAAAAATAAATAAATAAAATAAAATAAAATTGCAACTTCTCAGCCAAGCACTGGTGGTTCAAATTCATAATCTTAGCTACTTAGGAGGCCGAGACCTCCTGAGGATCACAATTTGAAGGCAGCCAAAGGTGGAAAAGTCCATAAGACTCCATTTCCAATTAAATTTTTGATAGTTAATTGAAGCATGGCTCAAGTGGGTAAGTCCATCTATGAACAATCAGATGTGAGAGCAAGAGGCCATTGAACTCAAGGTCTAGTACAAGTTGCAACCTTATTTAATATTACTTTTTGCCTTTCTTCACAGTACGATTTAAATGAAAGCATAACTCACAATATCCATTTTTAAAGGGTGATATAAACATTCTTCTTGTTACAAATGCATGAAAACAAGCTAGTGTATGTTAATTTTATATCAATATTTTCAAAAAATAGTGAATCATACTAATTTTTTATATCAGTGGGGATGAGTAAAAGTGTGCAGTTTGAAAATAGTTCAGTTATGTACATACTGTAGTACAGTATTTTGTAGTCTCAGAATTAAAAACAGATTCTTAATGTTTAAAGATGAAGAGTAGTGCTTTAGTCATGAAAGTTGGAGCAGTAGGCTCCAGTACACTCTTATGAAGAAAAGTATATATAGAGATGAAGGTAGCATCAGAATTTTTCACAATTTGAATACAAGACCTTTCATAACAAATGTTTTTCTATTTATTCTACATTAGAAACAAAATTTAGAATTCTGGTTTGAGATGATGTATTTTATTAGTTGAAAGAACAGAGATCTAGAGTGTACGATGTTATACTAGCAGTGAGTTATTAAATATTTTATTTCTTAAGTGCTTCCTTGTAAATGAAATAAATTTTGGTATAGTTTATAAAGAATATACTTAGGCCAGGCGCTGGTGGCGGTGGCACATGCCTGTAATCCTAGCTACTCAGGAGGCTGAGATCTGAGATGATGTTCAAAGCTAACCTGGGCAGGAAACTCCGTGAAACTTTTATCTCCAATAAACCACCAGAAAACTGGAAGTAGATCTGTGGCTCAAGTGGTAGAGTGCTCACCTTGAGCTGAAGAGCTGAGGGACAGTGCGAAGGCCCAGAGTTCAAACTCAAGGACTGACAAAATAATAATAATAATATAACTACTCCTTGATATACAGACAATGAGACAATGCATGGATATAAATCAACACAGCTTTGGAATGAGGATATGTAGATTAACCCCCCAGCATGTCACTATTGTATATAGGTGATAACTCTTTGCATTTCAGTTTTGAACGTGTAAGGTGGGATAATTCTATGTACTATGCGGTGTGCAATCTAGAGATAACAAGGTAAGCCACCTGCTTTAGTTCATTTGGGGAATAGTGGCTTGTTAAATAATTGCTTCATCTACCAGGAGTGTTCTGGTAAGTCTCTTTGTAACTTTAGGTGTGTTCTGTCATTTCACTTATTGTTTAGTTTCTAAAGATAAAATTAGAACAACAATGTTATCCCTATGAATATGCCCTTGATTGATAACACTAGAGGGCTGAATCCAAGAAAGAACAAGTTTAAACAGGAAGATGTCCAAGAATTAAAAACTTAATTTAGCAGAAGGGAGATGTCCATTCTCTGTAGCCTGACAAGTTAGTAACTTCTCATGTTTGGTGGAATCTGGAGATGATGATAACCATTCTGAGGTGTGCTCTAAGTAACATTCTTATAGGAGGTGCAGTGGAATGGTCAACCTAAACTTACTATGATCTACATTTGATCATGCAATGAACTGATATAGGTCTCATTATAAATAAGATGAAAGAATGTTAACCAACATAAAGAGATCTTTCGATGAAACAGGATCCACTTGCAAAGATGTTCTGTTGAAAGAAGGGACTAGAAATGATGGGCAAGGAGATGAGATTGTATCAACAAAATGAGAAAGAAGCTTATAATTGAACATCAATGGATGAAGTAAGTCAGGATGATCTGGTAAAGATTTCAAAATAAAGTAGATTATTGTGTATTTCAGATGAGGAATAGACAAGCTGAGGGAAAAAAACCACTGATGAAAGAATTGTTTCTGGGTCTTCTGAAGCCATTCAACTGGAGGAACTATGGAATATTCCTAAATCCTCTCTTTCAAAAGGAGTTATGATATACTTTAAAAAGCCATTTCACCTCAGGTATGTGAAGTGGAAAATATCCTAACACTGAGTGAATAGTTTAATTCAGTATAAATGTACTATAATATTTCAAATGTCTTCTTGCTTAGAATGTCAGGAGAGTTCAAAGCCCATGTATCAACAACAATGATCCACCTTCTATAACTGATTTCCTAACTTCTTCCTGTACACAGCCAGCAGCCTTGACCCAAATTCTCTTAACCAGTTAATGCCTCCAAATGATTCTGTACATGTGCGTCAAATACGACCTAACCTTCAAATCCCAAGCAGTCCAAGGCAAACCTCTCACATCATTAGGTAGTTTCAGAAATAAATCTTCATTTCCAAAACTATTTATAGAATGAAAGAGCTGATGGCATATATTTGTTCTCAGTGGACAGGAAGTCTTACTGTATGTTTCACATATACCTCAAAGGCTCTTTTTTATTTTTATTTTTGATAGTTAGCATTTATTGGTAGGTACTATTCTAGGCCTTAAATTCTTTTTCTTTTTCATTTCATTTTTCTCTTCATCCCTTTATATGTCCCTCCCTCCTTTCCTTCCTTCCTTTCTTCTTTCTCCCTCCCTCCCTCCCTCCTTTCTTTCTGTCTACCTGCCTTCCTTCCTTCTTTCCTTCCTTCCTTCCTTCCTTCCTTCCTTCCTTCCTTCCTTTCTTTCTTTCTTTCTTTCTTTCTTTCTTTCCTTCTTTCTTTCTTTCTTTCTTTCTTTTCAAAGGCTCTTTTTTATAAACAGTTTGTTGTTTCTATTTCTATTTCACTTCTATTATTCATATGTGTTCTAGTGACTCTATTTCAGAAACTAACTTGGCCAATACAGTTTAAGACTATCATTCTGACAACATGTGTATAAGCACTTCCTGAATGAAATTCTAATTTCCAGATCCAAAGTATTGATTTATATATTTATATAAAATAATTGACATATGCACATATAATTTAAAAATCAATATGCATTCAAATATATATATATCACTTAATAAATAAAATTGGCTTTTCAAATAAGATGTGTGAAACACAACAGTTTTTCCCTCCCTCCCTCTCCCTCTCCCTCTCCCTCCCTCTCTCCTTCTTCCTCTCCCTCTCCCTGCCTCTTTCCCCCCATCTCTCTCCCTCCCCCCCCTCATTTGTTGTGAAGCATTTGAGCTCAAGACTAGCATTCTACTGCTTTGAAACATAGCTCCCACCTGGTTTTAGGTTGGTTAATTGGAGGTAAGAGTCCTATGAACTTTCCTGCCTGGGCTGACTTTGAACCATGACCCACAGATGTCTGCCTCCTGAGTAACTAGAATTACAAGTATGTGACATGAGCCTCTGGCACCACAGTTTCATTTTCAACAACCCAAAACATCTATTTGATAATCACGCATCACAGGTGATTCCCAAAGAGTTCTCAGATATAAATTACCTCTTCTTTTCTTGTTTCACGTCCTTTCTGTACAAACCAGATGACTTTTGCTTGTAAAGATCGTGGGGTACATTCCAGCAAAGTACTGTTGTTTTCTATGCCATAAACCAATCGCTCTTCAGTCTTATCCAAAGCATCTCCTACATAAGGGATGTTAATAGGAGCCTTAAGACTTGATTTTTACTGTTTAAAAGTTTTTTCTAAAATATGTTCTTTATTGAGATTTCTGTAACCATATAAACAGTTAATTATTTTTTTGCTAATTTATATGCAAGGTTATTTAGAGAAATTATTTAGATGGCTCTTATTGAAATGGAGTCATTGGAAAAAAACAGGACCTAAGGAGTAGAATGGAAGAAAATAATTGAAAATTTGGCTTTAAAAGTGTGATGTAAGAGTAAGTAAGAGGGTGTATTAATGTTAAATTCACAGGAAAACAATGACAATTTCACTGATAAAGCAAGGAAAAGACTGAATACTTGTGGTAGCAAGGCAGAGGTGAAGTTCATGGTTACACACAGAAGCAGAAATGAGAATTCCTCATGGTGTAATGACACATAAATGTGAATAACATCTCACCAAGAAATTTCACTTGTCCAAGTGAGAAGAGAGCACAACACTTGGCCAAGGACTTTGTGAACTAGAGTTTCTCCACTATATTCTGTCTTAAACCAAAAAGGCTCTGACGAGGCTCAAATGCAAATTTACATCAGGCAAATGTACTTACTTATTGTAAAGGGGGGAAAAAAAGCAAGATTTTTTTTTATTGTTTTTGTTTTAACCAAGATCAATTCAATGAGTAGATCCCCTAAAATGTCCCCAATACTTCAATATTCCTTTTTTTTTACTTCAAAAATGATCCCTAAATTTCCCTAAGATTAAGGCAACATGATATCTTGCCAGTGTTTCCAGAAGTTTGAGTCCTGCCGTGAATTGTCAATAGGGTGCACAGAACAGCTGATGCTGACCAGTAATCCCTGAATGTGCTCATGACCATACAGGGTGCCTTCATCCTGCCCTGGGAGAGTCGTCAGGACCAGATGACACAAAACACAAACTGTTCACCATTTATTGTAATATGAGGAGTCAAAAAGGCATTTTTTTTGGTGATGATTGAAACCAACCTAAAACTGAAACCAACCAACACCACTTCTAGGTGGAAAAGGAAAGCAGTTTTACTATTTCCAATCTCATTAGGTGAACTGATATAAGTACTTTTTGAAGAGATGAATCCTGTGCACAAGTCACCTGCCATATGCCACATTTTCTCCCTAGTGTTCCCTAGTTTTGTGATCTAGTGTGAAATTAAATTTGCTCATTCTGTAAAAACTTTCCCATAGTGTTTTAACTACATGAAAGAAAATAATTATATATTCCCCGTGGCATTATTCTATAGAAATAAATCACAGAAAATAATTTAAGAAATATGCCATCTTGACTTCAGAGCACTCTCTAAGAAACACATTAAATTTGATTTGTCAAAAAATGATTACCGACAAACTGCTGTCCAAAGCATTGCTGAGCTGCATTTCCATGCCGCACATCTTGTCTGCGGAAACGCCTGCAGGAATGAGAATGCATTTAGTAAATGTTCCACTTTTAATCCTCAAGATTTTACTCTTTGAATAGCCATATTCAAGTTTCAAGCAACATCCTGCTAGTAAAAGAACTGCTGAGTCCTATGAAACAAGTGTAAACTACCAATTTCATGTTGTCCACTGAGCATACTCAGTAGTTAAGATCGGTATCTCTCTCTTCCTTAAGCCAAACTCTGGATTCACAATAAATAATTAACAAATTTCTGTGTTTATCAAAAATTTAGTTCCAAAAGATGTGTGGGAATACGTGCAATGAAATTTGAGTCAAAGAGTTGTAAAATCTTAAATGTACTAAAAACTTCAGGTAAAAAAATGGTTTTGGACTCCAAGTGTTTTGTTCTTGTGTGATGGTAAGTAACATAAATATAATTCCCAATTTTTAAAAAGATTAGCTAATAATTAGCTCTCATACTTTTTTCAGATTTAATGTTTGGATGGTTTATATATCTACTCACTTTACTGGTATTTTATATACCTTTAATTGTATGTCTTACATCTTGTAAGAATCAAGAAAGACTATTTTTTCCATTAAATTTGATGATTAGATTTAGGATTACCTGTAGTACATTTTCATCTTTTACAGACTACATCCATAGCTATAGGTATGAATGTATATACAGCTGTATCTATCTACCAATGGATTTATGTATGCGTATATAGCCATTGGTAAATATATATGACATATGATATATATGGATATATGGATATGTCTATACATATTACACACATATCTATCGATTGATTGATCAATCAATTTAATAGTTTACGTTTGTGGAAAATATTTCTAGAAAATCTATCGATTCTTAAAAAATTACCATCCTTCTAAGCAATTAGCCATTCAGTTTGTATTGGATTTCTAAAATCAAGATGCACAGTATTATTAATTCAAGTTAGAGATTATAAATATTTATATTTAAAGCTGGGTGCTGGTAACTCTAGCTTATAATGCTAGCTGTTCAGGGAGCTGAGATCAGAGGATCATGGTTCTAAATCAGCCCAAACAGGAAAGTCCCTGAGACTTTTAATCTCCACTAAAGTACCCAAAGAAAGCCAAAAGTGGAACTGTTGGCTTTGAGCAAAATATGCTCAGTGCCCAAGTCCTGATGAGTTCAAGCCCCAGGACTGGCGCGCGCGCGCACGCACACACACACACACACACACACAGAATTACTACATTAATGTGGAAAATAGCACTTGCTTCTCTAAGCCACGCAGTTGTTTAATATTTGGGGAAAAATAAATGCATAGTAAAAATTTGACCCTAGATGGTGATGGTGAAATTGACAATAAATGCTCTAAACATAAGCAACAGTAAAATCCAGAAAATGAATTAGATTCCCACTAACATTATGTAGGACTTCACACCTGTCTCTCTTTTACCTTGTTCTATGCACCCTCATTTGTGGAATGCAATTGGCTTAATAAACACCTAAAATCTAATGGAGTCTCAGTGATTTCCCTTTTGTTGTTGTTGATCTAGGGTTTCTTTACTATCTCTAAATAATTGTAATGGAGTATTACCTCAAACAATGAAATAGTATCTTACACCAGAGTTCAAGCCAGTTAAAACAACTTAAAATATAATACCAAATGCTAAAACAGATGAAATTTTCTAATCAAATTGTAGATAATGAATTGTAGAATAATGAACTATAAGCAAAAGCATACTTTAAATATAAAGATCTCAGGGTAGTAAACCTTACTTCAATACCTAGGGTTGAAATAGTAAAGCTAAGATTGTCATGTGAATCATTTAATTTCAGTACATTGAACAAAGAACTTGAGGAAAAGTAATAAGCAAAAATGGATAAGTTTTATGTTTTTATATTGTTTTATACTACCAGGTACAGCTATTAGACAACCGATAGAAGATGTATCTGTTGTTAATTCCCTATTTGGTTGACTTCAGTATTGGGGAATTTACATAAAGTCTGCTGAACAATGATGATTATCTGAGCAGAGATAAAGTAAAATGAAAATACTTTCTGTGCCATAGAGATGGCATTTTATTGAGATTAGAATTGTGAAACAAAAGAAATCACCAACAGATAATTCCACATAAGTAATATGAATGGCATGTAAAGAGTGAAAATTTTTTCAAATAATTGAAAACATACATTTACAAATAAAATATCACATCTTCCAGCAACAAGTTTTTAGTTCATTTTGCATTATCTCAATTTTCAGCATTTAAAAGAAATGCATGTATTAGCAACTTGAGAAAGTTTGAACAAAGTTGCCTTTCATTCTAAAAGTTGCATATTTTTCTTGTATCTCTAGTCTCTTAGAAACTGCTAAAGAGAACATTGCAAATAGATGAAAAATAACAGAAAAGAGAAAGCTCCAGCTTAATAAATTACAGTCTATTTTGGAAGGAAAGATCATTTTAAACCAGTGGTTTGGATTGTGAATTAATGATTTTGTTCCCTTACTCATTTTCACTTTGTGAGCAGAAAACTATTTTTTTAAGGCCCACTTTTCAATTTTGGCTTTTGTCAGGGTCTCAAGCAAGAAATGATCTCTGCTATAAAAGCAAACTATTTTCCTTCATATCCTGGAACTTGTGCAGAAAGTTGTCTTCTAGGGATGGGTAACAGTTCAAAGAAATGTGAGAACACTGAAAGACCTCCATTCTAAGCCACTGAACTGAATTATTAATTACTTCACTTTTGCTCATGGCTTCTGACTCCAGTATTTTCTTCCAATGTGTCTACTACTCTGTCTGTTCATTTATCTTTTCCTAAGTAACTTTTTTTTTTTGGTCAATTTCACCAAGTAAGGAACTGGTTGTTCAATTTTTTATGTATGTGCTGGTACTTGGATCTTTCACTTGCCTATATACTCTGGTTGCTCAGGCATGTCTCCAATACAACTTTTTGTTGTTTAATTGGAGATGGAATCTTGCTGACTTTTCTGTCTGGGTTGACTTTGAACCTCAATTCTCCATGTCTCAACCTCCTGAGTAGCTAGGATTCCATATGTGAGTCACTGAAACCCAGCTTGTTGTTTACTTTAAAAAGTGAAATATGTAACTTCTCAGTTAAATTTCATCATTCCTATTAATGGAAAAATTTTCTATTTAAAAGAATTGGTGCAAGGCTTGTAAACTTTTTTATTGTTTCTAATAATGGCAAGATATAATTTGTTTTATTATAATTGTAAAATACTTTCTTAAAGTTTTATAAGACACTAATAATAGACTGTGTATTTTAAACAATATAAACAAAAATTTTCAATATTTGAATATCTCCCTCATAAAAAAATGACCAATGCTTGAAAAGATGGAAATTGATAATCTGATTCAATCATTACACAGTAGTCACACATATCAAAGAAGCACATCATGTATCATAAATACATTTGCATATAAATTAAAGGGAATTATAATACTTTTTCATCACTAAGACTGATTCTTTAAAAGATTAACTTTTCACTACTCTACTCTTGAGTCATGGAATTGCTTGATTTCCCTTCAGAATTCCATCCTCATTTGAACACAATTAATTCTCTTTAACTGAAGCCTGCCTATGACTTAGACTATTTCAAATGTTGTATTATTTTGGTAAGTAAATGAAATATAATTTATACTATGTTCAATGCTTAAATATTCAATAGTGAGCTACTACTGCCATTATTCGCAGTTCTATTCTCCACCTGTAGTTTTGATTTCCTGTAGGAAATAGGCAGTGTTTCTGTGTATTCCTTGTTCATGGTATAAAAATTGTGTTAGGGGAGAAAACATCATTAACAACATTTTCAAATAATAATAATGCTTTATGCTCAGGAATGGTCTCAGACATAATCATTTGTATAAAATCAGTTACTTTGCTGAATTCTTTAACACGGCAAATGATTTAGCTCCTAAAGTTCCTTGCAAAACTTTCCTGTTAGTTTTTTTTTCTTTTTTTTTAAGCCTCAATCATTAATTTAGCTCAAGTCAAATAAAGAAAATGCCAAATTAGTGAATTTAATGATAATGTGATTCTACTCTTACAATAAGTTGAAAAGTAGATTCTAAAGGATTTAAATATAAAAAACATAAATTTAAGTCACTAGTATACTTGAATTAATACAAACTAATTGTCAGTAGAGAAAGTTGAGATAATTTTACATTTTGACCTGTTTTGCCTATGGTCACTTTATTATAAGAATCAAAGACCCTTCTTATTTTGTAAGAAATAAAAATAAACTTTCATATTCATTTTCCCAAATTGTGCAGAATTTCATATGGTTTGAATGGAAAAAATAACCTTATTCTTCAAAGTACTTTGTGAACCTAAAGTTTTCCTGTTGAAAGAATCTTGAGTTAACTTCTCTAATAAGTGGCAATGACTTCACAGGATCTTAGACATCAGAGTTGTAGATCTTTAAGTCCTTTTCATTTGTGTTGAATTAAATCACACATTTCATTAATTATACAGGTCATGCATTTGCCTAGGAGTTAAAATATTCACTTTCAAAATGAAATAAATGAGACCAGCTGGCAGAGAAAATATGGAAAACTGTAGGATGTATAATATGATGTTTATATTTTCTTTTTAAGCCTTTGAATCCTTCAAGTTCCGTGCCTTTAAGAATACTGCATTGCCATTCCCATATTTTACATTTATCTATGCTTGTTTCATATCTTGCAGCAAAAGTTTAACAGAACGGGATATTTAAATGAAAAGTCAAGTTGAAAAATGAAAATTCAAAAGAATGTTTCGCTTTAGTCTATGTATATTGTAGCACATTCAAGTTACATTCTGGAAATTTTCCATTTTTCAAAACTTATATTATGAGTAAACTATGATAGCTATGATGATTTAATGAAATAAAATTAGTATGATAATATTTGCTACATGGGTACAAAAGAAAAAGTAAAAAAAAAAATCATCAGAGTTGTCCTAATCAATGGAAACATTCCATTGATATCCTAACTCACCTTTTTGCATGTGTGCCTGTTGGGTAGTACCGGGAACAGGATATGCCATCCCAAGCACAGTAAGGGTCCCGAGCCAGACAGCAGTCAGCACAGGCACTTCCATACATATCACAGTGATGGAATCTGACTTGAGCCACATCAGAAGCAGATCCAACATACAGCTGTTGCTATAGGAGAAAGAGAGGGGCCACTAGTGGCAATGGACAGAGCTTTCACTGAGCTATTTCCCAGGGCTTCCACATTTATACACAATTACAAAGGTTGCTCAACAGAGATGGTGAACATCAGTACTGAAATACTTTTAAAGACTTAAGTGAGAGAAAAACAAAATTGCAGAGCTTGACAAAAACTCAAAAAGCTGTCCATTTTTTTGCATTATCCAAGGAGAAGACTTATATTAGCTAACAGTACAAGTCATCATTTAGAGATTTAGCAACATTCAGAAAAGTGATATATATATATATACACACACACACACACACACACACACACACAAACATGTATATCATGATGTAGTATTCACTGAGGGATGCACTAAGTGGAAATGCCAAGAACCAGGACTGAATTTTGTATGTGTCCATTTGCTAAACAAGAATAATTATTTTCAAATAAATGTGAGACAATTTGTTAAACAACTGTTTTTGGACTAATTACAGTAGAGGGAAGATTTGCTTCACTGAATGCTTTTGGTTGTCATTATTACCACTATTATTGCCAAAGCACTAATGAAAAATAACTAGGAAGCAATTTTTATGTTTTTAGATGTAAAATTATTCTTAACTTTCTTTCTACAAAGATTGAAAATAAAGATTTTATTGAATATAGTGTACTATTTACTTTAGTAATTCACTCAGGCATAGAGCTTCAGTTGAATAAGATATTTAAGTTCTAGAGCTATGCAGTATATAACATTAAGACTATAGTCAAAACTAAAATATTATACTATATATTAAAATTTATTAAGATGATTGATCTCATGTGAAATGTTTTTATAATAATAAAATGAAATGACAGCAAAGATTTTTCATATACAAGAGCATTTGCAAAATATTCTTTTACCCTTTGACCTTAATTGACATACATATACACAGATATACAACAGATGTAACAGACATGCACACAGATATACAATCTCTACCCCACACCATCCACCCACCACACAACTTACTCTCTTTGAAGAGATCTCCATAGAAATAATAGGAGTTGGATCCTGTAATCAAGCAAAACAGCTTCTTTTTAAATAAAATACAGGACTCTACCTTAATATGATTGTGAATCACCTGACATTAATTAAATATACAAGTGGATGCATGACTATAGTATGTAACTTTCATTTCAATAAACCACTCTGTAAACCCTATTAAATGAAAATACAGTTTAAACTTTCTTTTCTAATAGAATTTCCAGGTATATAGATGAGAAAAGCAGCAAATGATCCCATTGCCAGTTTAACTGTTCATTTCTGGAATATAATTTGTATTTCCATTTGTACATCACTGATTCTTTAGGAACTCAAGTATCTTAAATAATAAAAAATAAAGCCAGAATTTTTAAATAAAGTACTTGAATTGAATTTAGAAGTAAACTATTTAGGCTTTAGGATAGTTTTTAATTGCTAAAAACCATATGATTCTTTAATTACTTTCATCCAACCGTGTTCTGTTTAAAATACTTTTCTGTTGGAATTTTCATGGTGAACTACTTTGAAACCAAGATTCTTTGAAGGAGAGGAAAAAGTACGTTTTCTGAGACCACAGGGGAGGAAGGACAATATAGTTTTGGGATACTTTATATTATGTTCGCAATGCTGATAAGACTAGAAAATCTTTAAGGAGCATCGATGATAACAACAACAACAGTAATTCTGCAAGTGGAGAAATAGTAGGTAGATGCAATTCACTCTGGGGCTAATTTCCTTTGAAGAACTCTTTTTTAATAGAACATTTGACCTTTCTCCCAAAGTGTTTAAAAAAACACCTTGACCTACAAAATACAGTACAGTCAGGCATCATTTACTTATTTATTCAGGCAGCGATGTTTTTATGTAAAGAAGTAATGGTGTCCCTGTCTGTAATTCCAGGGACAGCTGCCCTCCTCTCACACACACACACACAGCCAATCAAAGGCTCCACCCTGTGGGGAGGATGGGGAGGCGGCTGGGGAGTGATGGAGTGGAGGAGCTGGGCATTCTGTACTCTACGAACTTCAAAAGGAAGGCTTTTGGGTCCTTCTGGCTGAGCATACCAAAACCAACCCCAGTTCCAAATCAGCCTGAGGAACAGGGAGCGGCCCTAACCTAAAACAGCCCCCTACCAGCGAGCTTCAGCTCATCAGCCCGTTTCAAAGGGCCCAGCCAGCCCTTACCTCGGTTCTTCAGTTGGACCCAGGTCTTTATGACGGTGGTATCTAAAAGCCCAGGACAAAGGTTTCAATCCTGCCATTGGTGCAAGATTGCAAGGATAGATCACCTCGATCCTGGAAATCGAGGTCTGTGACAGGAGGCCCTTAACAGCCCGGGGATGGCCTCAGATACCCAGGGGAATTACGGAACGCAAGCACGGAACACAAGAGTTGTGTCAAAGAGCAGTGAAATAATAGAAGAGCATTTCTGAGTATCAAGAAAAGCATTTTTAAAAGTGGTTCATTTCCAGACTTCGAAATGTAAGGGTCCCATAAATCTAAAAATATTCATGAAGAGCCCTAAATCTTTTCCACACTTGGCTGAGTTCCCTTTTCCTGAAGAAGACTAGCAGTCAGCAATCAAATATAAAGTTTTACTAAAGACAGTAATAATAGTAATAATAATAATAATAAATGTTTAAAAAATATATAAAGGTTTTTTTCGGGGGGAGGGTAGCCACCAGAGCCCATATGGAACAAATGACAATGCTTCTACACTTCATTAAGTCAGAGGATACCAGCACTTGGCTTACTCTATTCAAGTTTCTCAACTTGAGAAGGCCAGTTCCCCAGCTGTGAGGAAAACTGTCCTTTTCATTGAAGTGTCTGGCTTAACAGCTCCTGATTTGGCTGGAAAGTGAAAGAAGCACTGCCATGGGATTAGAAAGGATTTTTGAAATGGAAGGTTTTGTCTTAGGTGGTTGTTACTCCAAGGAGTTAAGACACACCTCAGAAGACAAACAAAACGAGACAAAAAAAGAAAAAGAAGCAATGGTGAATGTTGTTAATTTAAGAGCTCTGGTCCCTAATAGGTCCCTAATATGAAACAAAATTTTACTTAAAGGCTCAGATGCAAAATATATAAAAACATAGCCTCTTTAATTGCATCGGAGGATGGATAGCTTAGTTTTTAGTTATAGGAAAGCTAGACTCCAGGATAGTAAAGACAAAATGTATTACCTCTTATAACTTGTTGACATATATCCATTACGTATTTATGGTCAGGCCTCAAAATTTGTAGGTATTAATGTTCATATTAAGTTTTTTTTTAATTTGTAGACATACTCAGACCCAAAGCAGCAAAAAACAAAATGGAGTTACAGAATATGCACTTTCCCAGATGAGATCTATCAAGGCCACACTCCTTCCTCTATCTGTTCTTGTAGAGTACATGAGATTCCCATGAACAGACTACTTAAGGCCATGATTTTTACCTTATTACACCTTTTATAACAAGTTGTGTTGCTTTCTGGTTTAAAATGCCTTCAAGCATGATGGGAAAGTGATGTTTAAAGTTTATAAACCTTAAAAGTTGTGAGGCATCTTAGTATAGAAAATGTATTTATTAGATGAATTTCATTCAGGCATGAATTATACTGCTGTTGACTATAAACTCAATATTTTTTACTCAACCACCATATACTTAGAAAAACATCGTTAAGCAAAAACACAAAGTAAACTAGGTTATATATTGATCAGATACAAATGTTATAATCAGAAATGAACAGAACACTCCTCAAAAGCAATAATCAGCATTCATGTGACCATAACTATATATTCTATATTTATAGAATATATACATATAAACATATGTTAATATACAATCACTGCATTCTGACTATCTGCCAATTATTTTCTATTATTTTTTCATTTAAAAGTTTATTATGTATAAAAGTCATATTTTTCTCCTGCCACAATGCCCACAATCTGAAAAGATATCTTTTGTTAATGTTCATAGCATATTTGCTGAAGATATAACGGACTTCTCAATAGTGTTTCTGTAGTTCACACACAATATGTCATTAATTTTTAGCAACAATTTATAAAGTGACACTGTTTTCAATCAAACAAATATTGGTCTCCTTTTGAAAAGTCTGTAAGAATCAAGTACAAACATTTATATTGTAAATCATTCCTCATTTCAATTTTCTCTGAATTCAAAACATATCTATTTGGAGAAAACAAACCTAGAACTATCATGACATCTTTGCTATTTAATCCTCTGTTTTCAATATCTTTAATTGTCCATAGATTTGGACTTTATTTTTAAGATTAAGAATACCTTGAATATTTGAAGTTCTTCTAGAATTACTTCTTCCATTGATCCAGTCTCTTGGTTATAAATTGTGATAACTTTAAGCACAATTCCAGTATCTGTAAGGAAATAGAAAAACAAATAACTAGAAAGTATGTCACAATGTCAATTACAAGTAATTTAAAAACATGCAGGGACTAGGAATTAAAATGGAATTTGAAATCTTACAGAAAAAAATCATTTTATCACTGCTAATTAAAATTATATGATTTCCTATACAACCATATTTCAACTCAACAAAATAATGTTATATTCCTGACCAGAAGTGAGGTCAAATACTACATGTTTTCTAAACTGCTTGAACAATAAAATCAATCAAATTATAGGTTCAATAATGATCTTTTGAAATGATGAAACATCAGAGATGATATATTATTTCTATTTTCCTTGTTGCTTGATAAAATAAAACCTTCAATGTAAGTTACTATCATGGTAAGAAACTTTCCAAGAAACTCACTGTGGGAATCCTATATACACTGTTTTTTCACTGTTGAAGACTGATTGCTGCAGAAGCTGGTGCATTCTAGGAAAGCTCTTTATCACCTAGCTTCATCTCTAGACCTATAAACACTTTTAACTAGGGAAAAATACAAGTTGATTTCACTGAGGCAAGAATAATATTCCTTCTGTCCCCATAAGACAGCTTCCATAATTATCCTTTATTTTATAATTTTATTTTTTAAATTTCCATCTTATTTTATTACATTTTCTTAGTTTATGCTTTATAATATTAATATTGATGTATTACTTGTACCAATTCTTTATGATAACATCTATGCATGACCTACACAAATAACTTGACAGAGTTAATAATAATTTATAGGGGTAAAAAAACTTTGGATGTGTTCATTCAAGAGTTTCTATGATATTCCAGCAGTTTATTACAAAAAATCAACTCTTGTATCTGGATTAATAAATGTGTATTTTAATTAACTGATAACTATTACTTGTATATTTGAAAATATAAGTACCTATTAAATAGCTCACAATTATACCAGGTAAAAAGCAAAATGTAAGTGAAATAACTAATTTTCAACTGTTGATTTTGCAATAATCACTATATGTTTTATTAGTTACCCTTGTCAGAAAAATATGAGGGAAAAAGATAATATTTGCTGTATTTTTCAGTGTAGTTATCAAACATTCCTCAAGCATGTGTTTTTGTACTGAAAACCAGTATGATGATGTCTTTGATTTTTATATGTATATATATATATATATATATATATATGAATGCAAATATAGCACAAATATATTTCTGGAATTTCCTAATATATCTTTGGCTAATTTGTCAAGAAAATATTCTTGGGCTATTATTTGTATTTTCTGCTTCTCAGGACATTTATGAACAACATACATTCATTGGCTTTACAAATTTGAGTCATGCTTATGAAACTTTTGTTAAAAATTAAATTCTCTGAAGGACACTATAAGAGAATTCATAGCCATGTAATTTAAATATTAGTAAAGCAGTGTGATGATATGGCGATGCTATGTTAGTGTACAACACATTATTAGCAGTAACTTTCTACATTTTGAAAAAATGTCTATATAGGAGATCAGTTTCTGGAAGTATTAATATTTACTTATATCTTTAATTTTTAAGAATCCTAGGAGAAGCATTATCACCAGAATTAATTATATATCCTGATTTCTCATATATGCCAATATCATCTCAATATCATGTTTATGTTTGGAGTGAGCAAAAAATACTTAACCTTATAAAATAACTTCTTTAGCGATTGATAGGCTACACAAGAAGAAAGAAATGATGGTTTTCAAGACATATAAAATGACTATGTTACTTGTGTACTAAATTCTCTTCCACAAGTTAGAGGGAAAATGTGGTGTTAATCACAATGACAAGTTCATCAGAAAACTTTACTTTTAAAATATTCAGCATATTTTGTTTTGTTAATGGGATATTATTAAAATAACTGTCACTTGTGCTCTCTAGTACTAATGATGGGATGGCTGACAAGCACTGCTATGATTATAGATATACATGAAGTTAGTGTCACAATTGTTTGTTGTGAGGCCTTTTTGAGCAACCAGGGCAATAATAAAGCTGACTATTCTCTCTCAGACACCTTACTACCATTATGGTCCATTTAACTTAAGACCAGTACTTTTACTGAGATGTGCGTCAATTATTTCTATTGCTTTTTGAGACAAGGTCTAGTTGTGTGGCTCAGGCTATATGCAAGTTACTATGGAATCTTAGCTGCCCTTCAACTTTTGATTCACCTGTCTCATCTGGATCCAAGTATTGGAATTACAGGTGGGTACCACTATACCAAGAGTAATTATTCATTTCTTTGACTATTTCATTTATTCAAATATATTGCATACTGATGATGGAGCAATATTTAGCATATTTTAAATTTATATCATATAACCTAAAAACCTTACCTGTGTCAGTGATTCTCAGATCTGAAACAAGCGTGACCACATAATTTATTGTCCAAACCATGATAACACTGACAATAAAACTATTAATAGCAATACATTTTCCCAAAAAGTGGGCATAAACTCTTATGAGTTTCAGTCACTTGAGGACTCTATTTCTAATTTTGGATTAGCAGTGCACAAATGGATAAAGGCAACATATTATGAAAGTTACAATCTTTTATCTGATTTAAGTGGGCCATCTCCATGTTTTCTTTTCTCTTTACCTGTCCCAATAAATAAAACGTCATACTGGCCATCCTCAGCTTCTACTCGATCCACTGCTATTTGCTTCAAGTTGTATTTTCCATCTGTTTTTACCAGTATTGGTTTTTTGTGGGCAGGTTTTATGGGCTGGTACATAAGTGGATGAGTTCTTGCAAATCGAATAGCATCATCAGGGTAGTCTTTCGTGGTTCCATACTTTCCTCCATTCACTTTGCTGGCACACTGAAAAAGGGTGATTTTTGATCATTCTTTTTGCTTTGACCTTTGAGAGCAAATTTATAATCAATTACAAGAAGAATTAGAAAAATGGAATGTGTTCGATTAATCAACAGTGCATTTAAAAATAGCTTTTTGTTCTTCTGGTTAGAGAAATTAGGTCTGTGTCAAAAATTACAAATGGAGGGTAAATTATGTTAAACATAGAACATGAGGAATATAAAGAGTGTAAAGTGATCTGGGAAAAGTGAAATATTTATAATACCTAGTTAGTTGGAAGGTGACAAAAACATGCACTAATACAAATGTTCAAATTGTTTCCCTGTTCTCTAATGTTTTTTTTAATGCTGTAATTTAAAATTTGAAGGTAAAGAACCTATTAATGAACAAAATAAAGTCTTTCCATTGAAATCTCTAAAAATTGAAGATCTCAAGTGCATAGCCAGTTTTCCTTTATGAAGACTAGAATAACTGGTGACTGTTTATTTGCCTGTCTAAAGAGTCTTCACTCTCTAATATAAATACCTATTTAAGTTTTATCAGCACTAAGTATTGAGAGGGAGAAAAATCTATATGTTGTACTCCTAAAATTTGTATAAATTTGTATTATTTTGTATGGATTAGGCACAATCACCTAAAAAAAACAGAAATAACTGCTACAACATGTCTCAATTATTGAATTACCAATTGCAAAATTAGCTGCTCAATGGCACTTTAAGTTACTTTTTGATAATTCCTTTAACTGTGTTGATTCATGGTGATGAATAAATGATCCTTCATTTCTCCTATTTCCCACTGACCAACAGTAATTGCAATGACTATCTTGATTTAAAAAATTCACATAAAGCACAAATACAGTTTAGTAATCATATTCAGGCAAAGAAGGCATTTATAATAGTTTGTTTTTAAAAAATCAGGCCCTATTTCTTAATTTGGCACGGATTTTTCACTGGAGTCTATTTTCATGATATATAATTGGAAACATTTTGGAATCACTGGAAGCCATTCAGTAACCAATCACTTCCTCCAATCTCCTTTAAGACCTGTGGTTTCAAGAAGCATTTCCAGCAAAGCCACAGGAGTGAGTTTCCTCCATTTAAGTCATATTTTCAATCAGTATGGTGAAATAAAATATATTTTATGCCTTACTGGAAGTAATAATTTGAGGCCAGTGAGAGAAAGTGATTGTAATGATCAAGGCATATAGTTGTTAATGGAGGTAAGGTTTGTTTCCACTCTGGGTTTTGGCTGGGAAAAAAAAAAAGAATTCCATTGTGTATCTATACCACATTTTCTTGATCCATTCATTTACTGAGGGACATCTGGGTTGGTTCCATATCTTAGCTATGGTAAATAATGCTGCAATAAGCATAGCTGTGCTGGTAGCTTTAGTATGGTCTTGTTGTGATCATTCAGGTAAATGCCCAAAAGTGGGATGCAGGTGGACCCATTGCAACGATGAGATGTACAAGACATTAAATCTAAAAATGAACTTTACAAGTGGGGGTGGGGTGGGGGTGAATGTAGTTGTGGAGATGGGAGGGAAAGGATGGTAGGAGAAAATCAAAAGAGGAGGCAACAATGTTTGATAAGAAATGGACTCATTACCTTGTTCGTGTGATTAAAACCCCTCTGTACAGTTTTTTCACAATAAAAAACTTATTAAAAAGAGAGAAAGAAAGAAAAGTTTCTACATGACTTGCAAGTAGGATGAGTGAAATGGGGATAATCTCACCAGCCATTGGCTCCACTGAGTGGTGACTTACATAACAAGTTAGTTGTTTGCTTATCATGGCCCACATAGGACATGTAATATTTGTTCCATCTTGTTATTTTAGGTCAGGATGTACTAAAGTAAATCATTATCATAATCATAATGTTTAGACATGTGCCCAGTTAGAAGCACAAGTATTGGAATAAATAATTAGAGAAAATTTCAATAACAGCAGTTCAGAAGCAAGATCTTACGCTCTGTTTAAGTAACAATTAAGGAGAATGTTTGGCCTAGAAAACTTGAAAACTGATTCAGATAACAGAATAATTAAATCTAGATAGCATGTTTTATTTGCTGTACTGGAGTTTGAGCTTGTGACATTTTGCTTGTTAAGCAAGTACTATACTACACTTTGCCAGATACCTAACCCTTTTTTTGTTGTTGTTGTCAGTAGTGGGGGTTGAACTCTGGGCTTGGGCACTGTCCCTGAGCTCTTTAGCTCAAGACTAGCATTCTACCACTTGAGCCACAGCACCACTTCCAGTTTTCTAGTGGTTTATTGGAGATAAGGTCTCATGGACTTTCCTGCCCAGGCTGGCTTTGAACTGTCATCCTCAGATCTCAGCCTCCTGAGTAACTAGGATTACAGGTGTGAGCCACCGGCGCCCGGCTATCTAACCCTTTCTGATTTAGGTATTTTCTTTGGATAGTGTCTCATATTTTTGTTCAGTTTTGTTCTCTGACTGTATTCTTGACACTTGAACCTCCTGAGAAGGTAGGATTACAAGCATGAATGATCATTCCAGGCTTGTTCTTTCATATAAGGTCTTGTCTTGATTGGCCTCAAACTACAATACTCCTGATATCCCTATCTCCACTTTCTGAGTAGTGAAGATTAGAAGTACCTGTCCCTATGCACAGTCCTGAGGAACATTTTACTATTGAAAATTTATGATGCTCATTTTATTGGCCAATCTCTGCCCAAATATCTCCTTAAAAGTAAAGTTGGTTGGAGATACTGAGTCATATATAAAAGATAACATATAATTTATGGTGCTGCTAGAGGATATCCATTATAGATTATATTATTTTTATTAGATAATAAGCACATAGATATGAGGATTGTTATTTCCTTTCTATCTAGGCATAGTTCACATATCAAATTCTCTAATGCCTTGTTTTGATGCCAGCCCTTGGACTTGAATTCAGGGCCTAGGTACTGTCCCTGAGCTCTTTTGCTCAATATTAGCACTCTTCCACTTGAGTCATAGCTCCATTTTTGGCTTTTTGGTGCAATCCTCATATATCAGCCTCCTGCATAGTTAGGATTAAAGCAGTGAGTTTATTAAATTGCTTGTTTAGCTGCAAAGTGTGGCAACCTACAAAACAGTAACTGAACCATTACCAAAAGAGACTTTAAATAATAAGAATACTTCATTAAATGATTGAACTTACAGATCCAGGCCTTGGATATGGGACTTTTCCTTCATAGAGTGACCAGTGATATTCAGGACCTTCCTTGTGTGCATATGGGCCATTAAAAGCTGCTCGAATGCTGGACATATGGTAGACACATATAGCATGCCCTCTAAATATATTACTGCAAAATTGAAAAGGGAAATTATTATTCTGTACTGAACAAGTTACCCATTTAAACATATCATATACATCAATTAGAATTTTAAAAATCCTAACCTCAGTATTTTAAAAAATCAAAATAAACATTCTTTTATAAAAGTGCTTTACAAAATGTAAACTTCCATATAAGTATATCATTTCCAACCCTACAGACAGCTATAGAGCAGGAATCATGTTCCTGTCTTAGAATGTAGGATCACACATTTTATAACACACCTTGAAGCTATTGGAAATGCTTGGGATCCTGGGGAAAGCAAGACAGTATCACAGCCAAAGTGATACTAGAGCTTTTCAACATTCTATGTCAAGCAGCCTTTGTGTCAGGTAACAGCTGGGAGCAGCTTATAAATCTTTCTTTCTCAGATTTACATGTGAATTCAACAAAGTTGAAATTATGAAATAAAAGTATGTCTTGTTTTTGATGTGTCTGAAAGTTTCAATATGCTATCATTTAGGAGACTAACTTATAAATGGATCACACCCACTCACAGAAAAACTATCCTATCTCATAACTTGAATTCACCATATAAAGCAGTTAAATGATAAGTAATGTAAAAGCCAGAGGAGTATAAAAAATGAGATGGTCTATGGATCGTGATAACTATAAACTATATTCACTGTTTTTAATTTGCATTATGCTAGAATTAATGAAAATAATGTCTGTGTTACTTTGCTAAAGGAAAGGTCTCTTTACAAGGAGATAGGTGCTCAAAGACCTTTTCAGTGTTCTTTTCAAACTGAACATTACAAATCACTTGTTTAAAGTTAAACAAATGATGTGATGAAAGGTAAGCAAGCACTGTGTACAGGGTCTCATTACAACTGAAGGCCAACCTAGCCACATGTTGATCTGAGTAAAATCATCCTATCCCTGTCAAAGGTATTGAGGTAAATTATTATTTTTTTATTTCTCAATCCAATCATTTTCACTTCATTCTGCCTTGAAATTGTGTATGGAAACCTTCAACCAGTTCTAGAAATAATTTTTGTTCACTTACCAACACACATGATATATTGTTTTATCTATACTTTCATGTAAAGAGCTTAATATGAACACAGAGAAGCAGAAAAGAGCTTTATATGAACACAGAAAAGGGACAATAACAACTTACAAGCTTTAGCTTTAAGCAGCATATTTGAAAGACAGAAGGCAGTTCAGAAATGTGTATTCACTATGAATCTGCAGAGGGACAAGACAACCAGAATAATAGACTAAGGAGAATGTTTTGTGACTAAGGAGTGGGGCGGGGGAGGACGAGTATTTATTAGACATGACAATTGACAAGAGTCAAAGAACTGGTATGAATCAGAGTTGACAGAGAAATTCATGTCAAAAAGCCTGCTGAATAAATTAAAATGGAATGAAGAGGATTGGCAAAGTCCATACTGGACTCCATCAAAATATTATCTAGTCACTTATACAGCACTGGAGGACTCAAAGGGAAAGATAAAATTACTTCTAAATAAGAGTGGTTAACACTTAATGAACAGCTTTGAAAATTTTTCTTAGTAAAAATCCATTTGTAGGTGTTGGAGGCATGGCTAAATTAGTACAGTGCCAGCCAGTAAGCAAAAGTGTCAGGTACCAGATTATACTCCAGGTATCAGATATACACAAAAAAGAAAAGAAAAAAAAAGAAAATTCCATTTTACTATCCATATGTGACAAAAAGTCACTTTGTTGTATATCAAAAAGGAAGAGAACAGGATCTTGATCTACTGATCTCAATAGGCAGCTGAGTTAAAATAAGCAAAAACAAGAATCTAAATTGAGATTGTGGCTTTGAAAATGAATGCCCAGTTCAATCCTTGGAGAAAGAGAAACAAGAGAATGACCTATAAAGCATAGAAAAGGAGAGCAGCAAGCTGTGCTACAGTATTTCTAACTCAGGTACCTCATGAAAGGGGAGAATGCAATCAGATACTATCTTTGTGTTATCTGGATTTTATTTGCTGTACAAATTTCTCACCTGGTAGTGTTAAAGAGTCCAAATATCACTGGGTTCTTATGGTCTCTGGTATGCAGCAAAAAGATATCCTCTAAAAAAAAAAAGAAGAAGAAAAGATGAAAATCCACTCCATTACTTAGTACTTCTAGTCTTCATAGTATGCAATAAAATTCATTCACCTAAAATAATCTAGAACTTGTCATAGATATGACACAGATTCTATATGTAACCAAACACCCATGACTAAGTTATAACATGATGAATCATTTTTTGCTGCTATGGGTGGCTTTTGAGCTGGAACACAAGAAAGGAACCAGAGACTTCGTGCTTCTAAAGTAATGAGGATTGTCTTTAGTGTTGCCATATTTCCCCTGCCCAATGGAAAAAATTACTAACAAGAGAAGCTTGTGCAAGGTCAAATATTGCAGGGATCAGCTTTTCTATATGTGCCTGAAATAGAGGTATAGAGCGGTAAAGAGTAAAGTTTAGTGTTTTTACCTAATTCATCAAAATAGGTATCAATGCCATTTCCTCCTGGTACTGAGCAAACCAGCCTGGCCTTGAGGAATGTGCTCCACTTATTTACCAGTATTCTCTGTCCTCCCATATCATTCTGCAAAAAAAAAAAAAAAAAAAAAATAAGCAAATGGATACAGCAGTATCTCCTAAAGGAGGTAGTACTTTTATGAGATAATAATCTGGATTATTATACTGCTGAAAAATAATCTGCCTATCTCAGGCTGTGAAAGGATCCATTTCTTCTTCTTCCTTTAGTAAAGAATGTTTGAAAGACACAGAAATATAGACATATACAAAGCATATATACGCATATATATATATGGACATGTTCATTTACACACACACACACACACACACACACACACACACATATTCTGGACATTTGGTCTTTAAAATCTGCCTAAATACCAAAATAAAGTTACAATAGTACAACTGTGTTTATTATTTCCTCAACATATACTGTTAGTTCAATTGGTTTGAATATTCCTCAACAACCTGCCTAGCTATACTGTACAAACTACCTTGTTGTTTTCCAAGACAATCAACCAAATTAATTCTTCAAAAATAATGATATTATGTAGGTTATGAACTAAAGAGACAAAACCAGTTTTGTTAGATCCATTTAACAAATAAAACTCACATTTTCATGTGCAAATACTAATTATAGACTTTTTTCTCAGCAAAGTTTGAAAATGAGAAGCATCATAAAATGTAAGGTCTTTTGTAAGATGAGATTTTAACTAGATAGGAAGTTTTAGAGCTGTGAAGAATAGAGATTAGTTTAGCAAATACCAATTGTAGAAAGCCTATATGTAATATGAAAGTAGAAACCTATTATAAAAGTGATAACAAAGGCCTGTCATAAGCTGTAAGAAATCTTGAAGGCCCAAAGTGCCAGCCTCACCACACACAGCCTCCCCACTCTGGTGTAGATGGTGTGGGCGTTGTTCTCTGCCTCCAGGGCCTTCTCAGTAAAAAAGAAATACAGCTTGTTGTCATCATGGTCTTCATTGTCAGGAATCATATACGAACCTACAAACTTTGGTTCTAGAGAAGTTAAAAACAAAAGGAAGAAATAAATTATGCCAATAAATTATGTATCACTTATAACAGTCATCATTTTATATTTGCCTTGAAATTTTTAGGCCAACATTAAACCACATATAAAATGACCTCCATTTTATCTGTAATTAATAGACAACATGGCCATTAATCAGTAAGTAAACTGAGAAATTAAAGAGCCAAGGAGCGGGGCTGGGAAGGTGGCTCAGTGGTAGAGGCTTGCCTTGCATGCCCGAGGCCCTGGGTTTGATTCTTCAGCACCACATAATTAAAAAAGAAAAAAGCCGGAAGTGGCACTGTGGCTCAAGTGGTAGAGCGCTAGCCTTGAACTGAAGAGCTGAGGGACAATGCCCAGGCCCAGAATTCAGGCCCACAACCTAACCCCCCCCCAAAAAAAAAGACCCAAGGAGCTAAAAAGAATTTAACTTACAAACTTAAAATTCATTTAATTAAGGCACAGGTTTGGGCACCATGAAATAACTTCATAAATTTTCTTTGGTTGTATATAAAATGTAAACACATAAAAGCAAAACGTTTCTCAGTATTTATTTGGTTGATTCATACTTAAGCTATCAGTTAGTATCCTAGAACATTGTTTTGCCTTCAACATGATAAACACAAGTCTCTGTATTTATTGTTACCTTTGGTTGATAAGTCATGTAGAACATTTAAATAATAATGTGCAACTTTTAACAACTGCCCATTTTGAAACTTAATAAAACAGCTGCAAAAAATGAAGGTTCTCACAATAGTATATCATTTTAGTTCCTAACTATTGGGGCAAGTTGAAAAGTTGAAAATTATTACTAGCTGTACATTGGTGACTCATGCCTGTTATCCTCTGTACTCAGGAGGCTGAGTTCTGAGTATCACCTTTCAAAGCCAACCTAGACAGGAAAGTCTGAACAGGAGAGTCCATAGAATATGTATCTTCAGGTAAGCACCTGGAAGGATGGAAGTGGAGTTGTGGCTTGAGTGGTACAGTGCTAGCCTTGAGCAAAAATGTTCAAGAATAGAGCCCAGGCTCTGAGTTCAAGCCCCAGGACTGCAACACAAAAAGAATATTCCTTACAAAGAAATTCTGTCAGTGACTGTTTACTAATTTTACTAGAGTTTTGTCTCTAAAGTGCAAGGTGATCCTATTAAAGCAAAGCAAAGATATCAATTCATTTAAAGGTATAACAGTTGATGACCAGATAAAACTTATGGTCTTTGCCTTTTCTGTATAGTTGTTTTGTTTTCTTTATTGAGATCTTGATTTCTTGGCATTGCTTTGAAGACAAATTTGTTTTAAATTGTGTTAATCCATTTTGACATAACATGATGGACATGCATTGTAGTTAACTCATAAATTGCCAAGAAAAAGTCCTTGACACTTGTAAAAAGTCTGTCCCATGCATACTGTGATCATTAGCCCAGTATCCCGGAACTTGTTTGCGATTCTTTTTTTTTTTAATTTTTATTTATTGTTTATTGTGAAACTACTGTACAGAGGGGTTACAATTACATGGGCAAGATAATGAGTACATTTCTTATCAAGCATTGTAGCCTCCTCCTTTGTTTCCCCTTCCATCCCTTCCCATCTTCCCCCTTGTTTGCGATTCTCATCTCCAAAAGCCAGGTCTCCTCATCAGCCCACCTTTCAGCAGGCGCTCGTCGTCGTGCTCGGTGCGGAGGTGGGCCAGCCGGCCCGGGCTGCGGAAGATTGCAGCATCTCGGCCCCAGTAGTCACTGTAGAGTCCAGTGAACAATTCACTCCCTGCATGGAGGCACCGTTTAAAATCGAATCAGTACCTGCATCTACGTGCAAAGATGAAATGTAAACCACATTCTGTTTGAAGACATGTTAGAGCCTGTGATATTAACTCTATCGTGTTCAAGGTATGAACAGGTCAATCACACTGCCGCAGATAGAAGCTCTACTCTGCCCCTCGATAGCTGTGCCTTGCTTTACCGCTTTGTAACTCCTCTTTGTTTGTAATAGTAGTAGTAGTAGTAGTAGTAGAAATGAACAGCAAATTGCATATCTAAAAGTTAATTTGTACTATCCTTACCACAAATTTAATATACATATATGGAGAAAGAAGATTGAGACAATGGTTAGGGATAGGCATCTTCACCTAGGATTCAATCTTCACTATTTGACTACGGGAAGAAGAGGGAAAGTATTAAAAGTGATCTGCGATATTAACCACAAAACTGATCCCTAAACAATTATCCAGATATTACAATTCTAGCGTGGATTTTTCTAAATTATTTTGTTTTTTCTAATTAGAGGTGAGTTACACTTCCCACATATACTATAATTTTCATCTTGCAAAACTATTGTAAATACAAATTATTTTTCTAGTATGGACTGGGTTGAATGTTTAATGAATAAAGGATAGATTTCTTAAAAGTCAGCAGTGCTTTACATTAGATTTAAGTTAGTTTATTTAAATAATATTGATATCTATCATTAATGGAAAAGTAATCAAAGTAATACTGCCTATTAGTTGTACAGCATTTATCCCTATTTGTTTTAATGCTTTAGAATTTACAAACAAATACTATGGAAAGCCACTAGATGGCAGCAAAGCAATATCAAGTAACGCAACCAGCAGTCCTGTTATTTGCACAAAAGAAAATCTATTTCCAATTTTACCCAATTTCCTTTTTGTATTTGGATAACAGAAAATAGAGTATGAACAACTCAAATAACACAATGACACAATATAAACTACATTACTTAGACTTCAAACAAGTTAGCCAGGTGATAGAAACTATAACTAAGTAAATCAAACCAAATGTGTTTGTGGGAAATATAAGCTTTTTCTCAGAAGGGAAATTTTCTCATCTAGTACCTTACTATCAATGGAAAGAAACAAATTCATATTATAGTAAGCAGTCATTTTTCATGCTAACTTACTTTTTCCTAAAAAAATTTACAAAATATTTCATAGTAGTGGAAAATATACTAGAATCCAGCTTTAAAGAGAAGTCACATCCAGCAGTAATTAAATGAGTAGAATACTCAGTTTCTTTGTACTGATTGATAGTATTTACATGAAACACATACTCTAGTGAAAAACTATAATATTGTAATTAGAGAAAATTTGTTCTTTGGAATTTTGATGACATATGGATTTTTTAAGATGACCTTAGGACTATATCATATTTTCATGGGTACATAGTCTCGTGTGTGTGTGTGTGTGTGTATGTGTGTGTGTTTGTGTGTGTGTGTGTGTTGGTCGTGGGGCCTGAATTCTGGGCCTGGGCGCTGTCCCTCAGCTCTTCAGCTCAAGACTAGCACTCTACCACTTAAGCCACAGTACCACTTCTGGCTTTTTTCTTTTTGCTTATGTGGTTCTGAGGAATCGAACCCAGGGCCTCATTCATGCAAGGCAAGCACTCTACCACTGAACCACCTTCTCAGCCCCAGTAGCTAGTTGCTGAGACAGAAAAATAAAATTTAAATGGCTTTGAATTGTTTATTTGTATTTTCTGGCTCCCATGTTTACATTCTGAATTTATTTTGGTGGCAAATCAGTGGCTTTGAGACCATTCATTAGACCCTTAAAGGTTACTATACCAGTGGGATCTTGAAGAATGAGGCTTTCTTTTATTTCGTCTATTATTTTTATTTTTGATTAAACCATAAATAACATAGCCAGTTAACTTCTTAGAGCTATGTCTGGTTCTGTACAGTTCACATTGGACAGTGGGCACTTTGGCAGATGTGAGGGAGTAAAAGTCTTAGACAAGAAATTACAACCAGTTGCTAGTGCCTCATGCCTGTAATCCTAGCTAATCAGGATACTGAGAATTGAGGATCTCTGTCCAAAACCAGTTGGGGCAGACAAGTCCCTGATATTCTTATCTTCAATAAACTACTCAGAAAAAAAAAGCTGGAAGTGACACTGTGGCTCAAGTAGTAGAGCAATAATAGCTTAGAACACAGAGAGGCTCAGGGACAGAGCCCAGTGCCTGAGTTTAAGCCCCAGAACCAGAAAAAGAAGAAAGAGAGAAAAAAGGAAAGAAAGAGAGAGGAAGAAAGAAAGAAAGAAAAGGAAAAAAAGAAAAGCAAAAAAGAAATGACAGATATTCTTTAAGGAAAAGGAAAAGGTTAGGGAATAATTTGTCTAATTTTCTTTACAGTTGGGGTGAATTCAATAAATGAACAAAATGTTCTCTTACTATGTAAGTGTTGTAACTATAAAAATATATAATAGCTTCATTTGAAATTTTTCAGCTTTTTAAATATTTATTTATAAAGCCCTATTTTATTCTAAGAATATGCACTCATAACTCTGTCCTGAACTTAAATATAGTTAATTAAAAGGAAATCTTTCTTTTTAAAATGTTTTAAAAAAACTTGAAATGAGCTAGGCACCAGTGGCTCATGGCTGTGCTGTAATCCTAAGTACTCAGGAGGCTGAAATCTGAGGATAGTGGCTCAAAGCCAGCCTGGGTAGGAAAGTCTATGCGACACTTATCTCCAATTAAATCACAGAAAAATCTGGAAGTAGCTCTGTGGCCCAAGTGGTAGAGCTCTAGCCTTGAGCACAAGGAGCTCAGGGACAGTGATCAGGCCCAGAGTTAAAGCCTAAGCGTTGGTGGATGGGGGGAAACCTTGAACTAATCACTTATATTTAAATTCTTTCTCAAGATTAATTGCTAGTTCATAGAATTGATAATGAAATATATATTCCCCATTTTTTTTCTGCTTCAGTGCTAGAATGGAATGCAAGGCTCCAAGCACACTAGGTGAATATTCTACTACTGAACTACAATTCCCAGAACTTCAATTTTAAGGCAATTTTTATGGCTGTAAATATTATCATTTCATTTGCACGAGAATGTAATATAGGGCAAAAAATGTATAGAGATAAAATAGGATAATGCTGATTTGTTGGAATAAAATTTAGCCTTAAATTTGAAAAGTATCCCTATAAATATCTCAATAACAAGAGTTTCAAAGCAAAATTTCATAACAAATCAGAGTAGTTTTCCCCAAACATTAATTAGTGCTCTCAGCACAATTTCAGCTGTTCAGGCCTGGACAGGATTAAATTTTGCACCTGAAACTGATAATACAATTTACAATTTATTGGGAAGTAGAAATGTTCAAGAAAAAAGAAAACTGCCTGTAATACAAATCAAAAACAAAAACAAAACTAAAAAGCCATGAGGGATCCTAAAGATTCATAAAAGAAAAATCAACTAGAAAATATTGCAATATTAAACCAATCAGAACTGATGGGGAAAAAACAACAACAAGAATGTTTCCTGCTTGGCAAAATTAAATATGACATAAAGAAAATATTTCCTGGATTTTGATTTGACTGACCATGAAATAGTAATTGATTTTATTATTTTATTTAGCTAGAAAAGACAAGTATCTTTGGATGCTTTGAAAGACATGGCTAAGTAAATTCATTTTACTAGACATTTCAAGGTTTCAATAAAGTTGGTTTATAAAAATGAAGAGCATAATTCAATAAGGTGATTGTTTTTGCTCTTTGAGCCATCCTAAATTCTTAACATTTTATTTCTAAATTAAATTATATATTTAATTTTCAAAAAAGTGTGTTAACTTGTCTTTTACTTATCCAATTATCTCTAATATTGATTTAGTTTCTCAATAGTATTTTACTCCTGGTAATATTTTTTTTTGGGGGGTCCAGTCGTGGAGCCTGAACTCTGGGCCTGGGTGCTGTCCCTCAGCTCTTCAGCTCAAGGCTAGCACTCTACCACTTGAGCCACAGCGCCACTTCCGGCTTTTTTCTTTTTGCGTATGTGGTGCTGAGGAATCGAACCCAGGGCCTCTGGCATGCAAGGCAAGCGCTCTACCACTGAGCCACCTTCCCAGCCCAACTCCTGGTAATATTTTTTTTATTGTGAAAATACCGTACAGAGGGGTTACAATTACATGGGCAAGATAATGAGTACATTTCTTATCAAGCATTGTTGCCTCCTCCTTTGTTTCCCTTCCCATCCCTTCCCATCTCCCAACCCCCGGCCAAAGTTGTAAAGTTCGTTTTTCAACATAACGACTTGTACATCTCATTGTTGCAATGGGTCCACCTGTATCCCTATTTAAACAGTTTGTTTTTTCTCTTCCCCTCCACAAATTATACCAACATCAAATACTGTGAAAGTAGGGGTTACACCATGGGGGAGGGACATATAAAGCAACAAATTAATCTTAAATCAACTGATTTCAAGTTCACAGAAGTTAAAATTGTATCTGAAATTAAGAAATAATATAGAAATTCTCAGTTTTGCAAGCACCAATTTTCCTTTATGGTTCTCTTTATAGTTGAATGAATATCATTACCAACCTGAGTATTTTGCCTTAAACGTGTAATCAAACACTCATAGCCTATACCTAACAAAGAAACCAGGAGCCATGGTCTATGGGTGTCTATCGTTTTTCCTGGAGTTTTGTTTGAACTCATCAATTCAGGATATGTGTGATCATAAAAGAACATATTAATGCATTCTTTCCCTGTCAGAGTAAGCTACACCAAGCTTGCCAAATTCCAACTCAGGTAGCTCCATTTTTTTTTTCCAGCTCACATTCCTACTGCTTTTTCAATTGAATGAATTATTTTCACTTCCCCTCTTTTAAAGAGCTTCTGGCTCATATAGGTTATCAGGTTTCTGTGCCAGAAGCGGCTGCATTTCCAACGTGAGGGAGTGATCTCTCCAAGGTACTTGGGGATGAAAGCGAGTGGATAAAAGTGAAGAATTATATTTTTATTTCTTCTCTTTGGAGGGATTATTCTATAACTTTCGTGTTTGACTTGGAGGGCTCCTTTGATTTGATTTCTCTTCTGAATAAACGAAACAGCCAGCCACCCAGATGGCAGGCCCTTCACAGTTCAGCATAGTGTAATTTGATTTGGAAGTTCAATGGAACTCACTTGGAAATGTCCCTCTGGTAATATTTCCTTCTTTAAAATTTCAGTTTTAAATTCCTGGCTTCATACATAAACAAAATCCAAGGAGACTGAGTGTTGAGTGGCACAGTAGCTATAGAAATTACATTTCACCTTTTAAAAAGCAAAATATCAAAATGATTGATTTTCTCTTTCTCTTCTTTGGAGAAACATTTTAATTTTTCTTTTTTTTTTTTGTTCACTTGGGTGTTTTAGTGATTATTCCATTCATGATATTTATAGAAAGCCTATTTTTTTTTCCTGTGAAATAGGCTATATGGTAAAAGAAAGATGAGACTTTTTCATATATTTTCAAATCTTAAACCTATGAAGTCAAAAAATCACTAATGACTGTAGGGAAAGATTTTATGAGTCTACCAAATATGTGCATTTCATATCTTCCTGACATTTTTCAAATTTCAAGCCTATGGACATTGGATTTACCAAAAGTGTCATTCTTTTGAATTTGACTCTTATAAAACAAAACTGGTTTACGCAACTCTCCTATAGGAAACAGGATTCAAGGCCAATAAAAATTGACTGTCCCAAAATAGTTCACAGAAAAGATTTCAATAATGTACAATATAATCTTAGCTGATGAACAGAATAACTCAATAGCTATGAACATATGACCATATAAAATGACGCTAAGGGAAATGAACTCCAAGACATGGACATAAGAGGTTTTACTTTGTCACTGTTGTTTTTAATGTCCTATGTGATTTTTTAAAATTTTTTTTGTATGTTCTTTCCCCTATGGTATATCTCCTATTGTCACTGTATTTTATTTTGGTACCCTGGGTATTGTATATGTGTTTATCTGAATTAGGGAAAGGAAGGGGAACAAAAAAAATGGTGGGACAAAGGACAAAGTGGGAGACCAATACAACAGCGATATACACAAGATAAATGTTAGAAATAATCTGTACAATTTGGGGTTGGGGGGAATGGGAGAAAAATGAGGGAAGGAGTAACATATTTAACAAGAAATGTACTCACTAACTTACTTATGTAACTGTAACCCCTATATGTATCACCTTGGCAATAAAATTTAAATTTAAAATTTAAAAATGCAAAAAAAATGCAGAGTAGTACAATACCACCGATATCAACTCCAACTCAGAGAATGTGTTGACAAATTATCAGCACAGTTTTAAATTTTATTACCTTATTGAAATAATGAAGTGTCTACATGTTATTATGTGCTTTCTCATTTTCTACAAAGACAAGCTGGCATTCGTAGCTGTAGATTTTGCAAACGAGTTAATAGTGGCTTGTGCATCTATGGTATACCTGATGACAAACTCTCAGTACTGAGGAACCAGAATTACTTTATTAACACTTGTGATCTTTTCAGTTATACTTGGGAACTCCTACTTGCTCATACTTCCATAGTCTTAGAGACGTTTGATAAATGCACCATTTTCAATCCCAAATAATATAAAAGAGAAAGGATGAAATGCAATACTTTATTGTGTCTTAAGTGAGGATTTTTAAAATTTAATTTTATTGTAAAGGTGATGAACGGAGAGGGGTTACAGTTACATAAAAAAGGTAATGAGTACATTTCTTTTTAATGAGGACCTCATTCAATTAAAATTAATCAAATTGGAATGTATACCAGACAGTCATTTTACTCTATTATTACAATAGCCATGTTTAGTGACAGCGTGAGATGTCTAATGTCTGATCAGTGTCTGCATTCTAGATTAGCAAAAAGTTAGATGAACAACCTTGAATTGTTCACCCAAGATGATTTTTTCCTGAATTCTATGAATAACAAAATGGTATCAATGTAATAAACAGTAAAAGTTGTCATAATTACTTAATTGAACCATAAAGAATCAACAGAGTAAAAATAGTTTAATTTCTCTGGCTGAAGTGTTTTATTAAATAGTCTGTAACTGCATTTTATGAACTGCTAATGGTGTCATCAAAAATATTTTATATCATGTCTTATTGGGCAATTTGTTTTATTTTCTTTAGGAGGAGACATGTATACTTTGTAGCACAAGTTGAAATTGCTAAGGCTTGAAATTTAACATTGTTGCTCCCAGTACCAGTAAACAGAAATGACCAGGCAAAGTACACAGAGAAGGGGGCGGGGGAAATATACTGAAGTTGAAAACTAAGTTTCAGAATCCTCATGCCTGCTACCCAATGTCTGAGGGAAGATAATTACCAATTAGTGTGGAGACAAAGGAAGAGCTGGGGTCAAAAGGACATCGACCCCTTCCTCTCTCGGATCTGTGTGATTCCAGGTGAAACAGAGGATCCTTGGGGAAAAGGAAGAACAGAAACGCCATTGTGAATGTGCCAGCTTCAAGAAGAATTTAATTGTTCAGATAAATCATATTAAACTTTGGTTCTTTCCAAAGCAAACATTCTAACTAGAAAATTAGTAATATCAAGTCATTTAGGCATAACAGGTTTTTATAAATAAAGCACTTGAGCTTTGCAAACCCTTACTCACCTTCTCTGCTATTTTCAGGAAATATACAAAAATTCAGAGAAATAGGTGGTGCTTACCACTTGATTGGACAAGGCTAGTTCTTCTGAGATGTGTCACTTAATTATTCCAAAAAAGTTAAAACTTGATGAAAAGGTATTATTGAGGACATTCATAGATTTAAAAAAAGAGAACTGGGTTATATTATAAAAATGCTTTGTTAAGGAGGTGGTGCTGTGGCTCAAGCGGTAGAGCGCTTGCCTTGAGCTGAAGAGCGCAGGGACAGCGCCCAAGGCCAGAGTTCAAGCCCCACGACCGACAAAAAAATAATTTTAAAAATGCTTTGTTAAATTTTGAATATTTTTCAAAGAACAATAAAATTTACTACTCTGAATATTTTAGAATATTTGTTTTTAATCAGTTTTATTCTTCATCATGACACTGTACTCATATCCAGCATATACGCACCTATGTCTAATAATGTTCAAATTATTAATGCATGACTATAATATATGCATGTTAACAAGTTCCATATTGTATATGTATACAACTTCATTTTTTATTTTTATTAACTTATTTCATACAATGAATATACTAATAATACATATTTTTATACTAAACTATTTTAATCACTTCTATATGAAGCATATAACCAGTGAAAAGTTTTCACTAGATGTGTCCAGATTTCAATACTGTCATTCTGGGCTTTTTTTGTGTGATTGAACTGCAATAAATATGCTAGAAATAGTTTGGGTGAAAGAAAATCATTCAGGAAAGTAACAATAAAAATCACTGCTGAAAATTTAGTGGGAAAAAATGATATGCAATAGTGCATTTCTGATATTAATACCTGTGGCCCCTGTGAACTGCTCTGTCCATTGGTGAATCTTGAGTCTTTAGACACTGCTGAGACCTAAAGGTGAGTGCACTTCTCCTGAGCTTCACTTTGATTTTGGTAGTCATTCCATTTCCTCCACCTGATCTCTACTACCTAATTGAACACACACATTCATTCCTATTTCTCTCTCTAATATCCTAAAACCACTGTCTTGCTTTGCCTATTTCAAAACTTGTCTGTAAATGTTGAGTAGTACAAACACAGAATTCACCTGATTCCTGTGACTCTTATCCTCAGAGTCTAAACAATGCCTATGGTGGAAATTTGACCTCAAACTCAGAATCATGGCTGCATTGATATTTAAGCAGCAAAGGCCTATTCAGCTACTGTACACAGCTTAAGACTTTCTGTAGTTAACGATTTTCAAAAGTAGTTTGTCCAAGAAACAGAATTACAGATCCACCGAGCAAATACATCTACGGAAAGAGTATCACCTTAGTTTGTAGAATAGAACCATAAAATTATATGAGGAAATGAGCACATATGAATGCAACACCTGTTTGTCCCTTTAGTCACTGCTACTTCGTGAAATGTTTGAAGAAGTAGTAGAGAATGAATGTTAAACATAAGAAAGGCTCATGAAGAGGAGATAGGGAGCATCTCAATCAAATCAAGATTTTCTGCAGTTGAAAACTCTCTGATACTCAGCTTTTCATTCTGAGTCAGTTTCATTCTCTAGTCATTCACTTGGTTGTTTCAGTGGAAGAAATATAATTAGACACTTTGAATACTAAATTGAAACTGTAAGATGAAAACAAGTGCATGACATCTATTTGAAGAAGATACAAATTGTCAAGTAAGAAATGCAAACAGGGGGCTGGGAAGGTGGCTCAGTGGTAGAGCACTTGCCTTGCCTTGCATGCATGAGGCCTTGGGTTCGATTCCTCAGCACCACATAAGCAGGAAAAAAAAGCCAGAAGTGGCGCTGTGGCTCAAGTGGTAGAGCGCTAGCCTTGAGCTGAAGAGCTAAGGGACAGCACCCAGGCCCAGAGTTCAGGCCCCACAACCGGACCAAAAAAAAGAAAAAGAAACGCAAACAGGAAATACAAACTGAAAGAGCTCTGTGATGAGGAGAATCATGGAATGTGTAGAATTCTAGACCTACTTTAGGGAAATGAAGTAGCATGTCTTGTTTTTGTTCTGTGAATTTCAACTTGAGTCAGAAATACCAAGTTTCTGATACAGCACATTCTTCTACTTTAAAGAGAAGTTGACTAAGTCACAAGAATATATTCACCAAGCAGTCTGTAAGTGTAATATGTTGAAAATAATGAAGTAGAACCTAGGATTATACCAGGATTTCAGTCATGTATGAGGCACACATGTATAATATGTAAACTTATTTGTCTCTGAAATACAGCACTCTGCTATGAAATCTCAGATTTGACCTTGAGAAGACCTGATAATTAGATATTATATTAAATACTTGCATATTCTTAGAGATTGATACCTTGGATCAAGACACAAATGTGCTTTGGCTGAACTCTTCTCACCGTTTTATAAAAGACTTCAAATGCCTGTCACATTTATTTCATTAATGGCTCAACCAAGGTCAACCTTTCTCATTTTAAAATAATAAACTAATTTTTGTTTGAATCCTGCTCTACTATTAAAAATCCACACTTTAATATATTAGAAAAAGATATTTCTATGATTTTGCAGTTAAAAATTAATAACTACTACATTTAAAATTTTTTCAGCTACATTGTTTTCTTGTTTGGTGAAGAAAGGAAATTGGAACATGCCCAATGTAGCTGTGTATCCTTCTTTTCAGGCACAAAGAAAAGAAAAGGTAAAAATCTGTAAAGGATACATTAATCTCATCCTTACATGAAAACGCATGGTTAATAAAAATTACGTCAAGGAGTCAAATAATACAAAAAGGCAGACAATGTCAAACTAGATTGTACATTAGGATATTTCTTTAATTCAAAGATTGCAAGGTCTTTGATATTCTGCATAAAAGTTATTAAAAAGCAATAAAAAGCTATTTTGAGCACATGAAAGTTCTATAATTTTTTATTATTGTGAAAATACCATAAAGAGGGGTTACAATTACATGCGCAAGATAGTGAGTACATTTCTTATCAAGCATTGTTGCCTCCTCCTTTGTTTTCCCTTCCCATCCCTTCCCCTCTCCAGCCCCCCACCCTCAGACCCCGCTATAATTCTCTAGTTTTTACATGTTTCTTTTTTGCACTGATACTCTTTGTTTTTATCCTGAAACTTGGACAACTGCTGTTGAACATCTAAATTATTGTACTAAATTGTGGCCACAAAGCAGAGCAAGGAACACTTTATTTTTTATTGGTCAGAAGATCTTTCTATAAGTTCCATATGTGAATTAATGGGCTACTTGAATCCATGGCACACCTTTAAAACATATTAATATTTTATCCCTGGTGTTTATTTTTGAGCAACTTAATAAAATGAAGTTTTAGGTATAATATGTTGACCAGTTTTTATAGGAACAACTATACTTTTTTTCTAAAGAAGCATTTTGTAGTAAAGGTAATAAGAATCTAACATTTTTTGTTTGAATGCCTATAGATCAAAGTGTGATTATTATAATCATAGACCACTTCACCTAAGCTATTTTGAGGCAACCTCATTTGTTGTTGCAAAGTAACAGCTTCCTCAAACTATTCGGTTTTCTGACAAATGTGTGAATGACCACAACTTAAAGTTATTTAATATTTAATAGTTATTTAATTAAACTTAAACTCTATTTAATAGACAGTTTAGAGTTGTTAAACAAAATATGTCCAATAAAAAAGTAAGAAATGTACAAAGATATCTGTAGACTGTTAAGGCCAAATAAACCTAAGAAGTGATTACCTCATTTATGAACACTCTGAAACATTCCATTCAAAATTCATCCGCTTTCGTTGATAACGAGTTTAACATTTCCATTGAATAAATCATGATGTGAATGACTTCAGAAAGATCAGTATATTTGGAAATAATCTGAATAGTAAAGTCATATGTAGGGGGTAGTTTTATTGTTTCTGCCAAATTTTTTCACCGTGTTTTCTGAAATCCTTATATCACAGTAAATAAATCTCTAAGGCCATACTTTGTAACAGACTTCTAAACTTGTTTGCTCTAATTTGGTCATAGCTACCATAATAGGCAGAATATGAAGGACTCTCAAAGAGTCCTCATAATTTCTGGAACAGGTGAATGCATTAATTATACTGCAAAAAAAAATTTTGCAAGGGCTACTAAATTAAAGGCCAAGATGTGGAGACATCTTGATTTATCCAGGCAGGTCCAATAAAATCACATAGGTTCTTAAGATAGAAGAGGAGATGTAGGCAGGTACTTTGACTCAATTCCATACTCCTAGCAACTTTTAAGGCAGAGATGCAGGATCACAATTAGAATGCAGCCTAATCCAAAAGAGTTCAAAAGAACACCCTCACCACCAATAAAACGCTTGGGATGGTTGTGTGTCCTTGTCATCCCAGCCGCATGGGAAGCACAAATAGGAGAATCGTGGTCAGGCCAACCAGAGCATAAATGCAAGATACTATTCTAAAAATAAAAAAAAGCAAGAAGGCTGAAGGAATGGCTGATGTGGTGGAATGTCTGCCTTACAAGGTTAAGACTCTGAATTCAAATTTCCAGAATATCTAATTTTTTTTAAATGGGAACTTTGATGAGAAAAGCAAAAAACCTATCAGAACAATGCTGTGTGTAAGGAAAGCTAGACTCACTAATGCTAGAAGAAGGAAAAAACAGGGCCATAACTACAGGATATCAGTGATTTCTAGAAAACAAGGAACTGAATTCTTCCTTTAGAGTCCCCAAAAGGAATACATTCCTGTTGCCATCTTCATTTCCATGCAGGGAGGCCTAAATTCAGACTTTGTGCCTACAGGACTATTAATACGTATATATATATATATATATATATATATATATAT